AATAACAAGATGGTAGATTTAAACCTAAACATCAAAAATTGCATTAATGTAAATGGTCTGAACATTCCAATAAGAGACAGAGAATGTTAAAGTGGATAAAGGAGCAAAACCCAATGATGTGCTGTCTATAAAAACCCATTTTCAGTACAAAGATAGATTAAAAATAAAAAGATGAAAAAATACATAGCATGCAAACTAATCATCATAAAGCTGGAATTACTAAACTAATATCAGACAGTAGATTTTGGAACAAGGAATATTATCCAAGATTTTAAAAATGTTATTCATAATTACAAAGTGGCAATAATCAAAACACTATTATAATCCTAAGTATACAGACAGCCAAAACAGAGACTGAAAATACATAAAGCCAAAGAGACAAATCCACAATTCTAGTCAGAGAATTTAGTACCAGCACCAGCAGCCCTCTCTCAATGATTGATAGAACAAGTCAAAATCAATAAAGATATAAAACACTAGAACAACACTGCTGACACATTTGGCCTCAATGGTATTTATACAACACTCCACTGAAGACAGCATAACACATATTCTTTTCATGTGCACAGGAAGCATTCACCAAGAGAGGCCAAATTCTGGGTCATAAAACTAATTGAAACAAATTTTAAAAGAATGAAGTCACAGAATTGGTTCTCACAACACAGAATTAAATTAGAAATCAATTAACAGAAAGAATTGAAAAATATCCCATTATGTATATTTAGAAATTAAACAATATACTCCTAAATAATCCAATTGTCAAGAGAAATCATAAAGGAAATTAGAAAACACTTTGAACTTAATAAAAAGACAGTATCAAAATTGGTGAGATGCAGATAAAGTAGCATTTAGAGGGGAAACTATATGCACTAAATAAATTGAATTGGTATTAAAATCCTTCCTAAAAACTCCAGTCCATATAGTTTTACCAACGAATTATATCAAACATACAGATCAATGAACAATGTAACAAGATACAAATATAGTCAGTTCATCATCTACACAGGTGCCATGATAATTAAATGGAGATAGTATTTTCAATAAATGCTGCTGATTATGTTATTTTAAAAAAATGAAACTTGACCCTTATCCTCATGCCATACAGAAAATTTACTAGACCATAGATCTCTTTATATGCCATATATATATATATATATATATATATATATATATATATATA